AACTACTTTTAACCAGTTTGGAAAGTAACTTTTAATTATAGGCCTACCTTAAGTTCTATGCCTCATAGATCTATGAAGCAATTTTTTTTTTCTTTGATATAAAATATAGACTAACACGATCCGGGTTACATTTAATTGCAAATTATTTGTTTTGGCTTGAAACTGTCAGATATTGTATTTGCGAATGTTTATATGTAGTCCTATACAGTAATAGTTTTGCCAGCATATCTGAAAAAATGCAAACTAAATATGCAAACCAATTCCTGATCTGAATATAAGAAGGTTTCGACTTACTACAAGATCCACGGACGTAGAACGGGTACACAGCTAGTTTATACATAACAAATCACCACCGAATACTGTTTTGTAAAAAAATATAAAATGGCGGCTATAGAAGCTTAACTAAATCTTTTTCGACTATAATTAGCCTATATGAACTTTTTTTCTTTAGATTTATTAGTACTAACAGTCCCTGAAGTTTGTGACACCCATTTATAAACACCTTATGTATAATCCTAACTGCACGAACATGAAAATATAAGATAGTATAAGTTTGGACCCGGAAAGAACCACTGCTCCTTGAGGGTGATTCCCAAAACAAACGACTAGACACTAACTTGACATTCTCGGTATAGTAAAATAAATCTTGGACAGAGTGCAGCACCTTCATGATAACTACAGAGTGATAGTTTTTATACTATCACTAACTTACTATCAACTAGTGGTCTAGTTGTAGTGCATATCTACCTAGTCAGCTGGTGGCGTATCAATCGTCAAACGTCAGTTAGTCGTCTGCTACTGCACTATACACTATAGTGATGTAGTGGTAGTATGTTTCTTGCCAGCTTGTGGAACGGCATCTGTTGTAACGCAGTTTCTGGATCCATGTAGTTGTCCTCTTTCGTCTGTTAGTGGTCTAGTTGTAGTGCATACCTACCTAGTAAGCCTTAGTGGCGTATCAGCAGGCAAACGTCAGTTAGTCGTCTTCTAGTGTAGTTACGTAATATAAGTAATATAAGTGTATCTTGTCAGCTGGTCGCTACCAGCAGTCGTAACGTCAGTTGATGGTCTCATGTAGTGGTCCTTAGTGGTCTCGTATTTTAGTGGTCTATTTATATTGAACATCAGAATAGTCAGCTGTTTGCGTAGCATCAGTCGTAACGTCAGCTGGTGGTTTATTGTAGTGGTAGTAAGTTTACAGCTGGCGGTGCGGCAGGTCGTCGCACGTATGTAGTGGCCCTAGTAATCTCATAGTGGTCTATTTATATTGAACATCAGAATAGTCAGCTGTTTGCGTAGCATCAGTCGTAACGTCAGATGGGAAACGGACTTTCGGCCTGCGCTGCCCCTGACTCGGCCTGGGCTGCCCCTATTGTGTGTTGTAAAGGGTAGGTTTCTCGGGAGCAGGTACCTGACCTCAGCTTGCACTTTACCCATTAAATCCCAGGAATCTCCCAGAAATACTTGTGGGGTAGTAGTCAGGGTCGTCGACACAGGAGGCATGGGCAAAGCCTTCTAAGAAATACATTACTATTGTTCTAGAATATTACTGTAATTTTTTTGCATTAAAGATTCAGGAAGTGATGGTGTAATGGTGGTAGTGAATATCCGCAACAAATAAACGTCGTTTTGTTTCAAAATTTAAAATACAAAAATATGTAAATGTCTACTACATATAATTCATCAGTTATGCTTCTTTTTATGGGATATTTTGATAGTGATTTTCTAAAAAACTAATTTTTATCGATAATTGTACTTGGAGAAATACAACTTTTTAAACATGCTTCGCAAACAAGTGAACCACCCTAGGTAAAAGATAGCTGAGGAAAAAAATTGTTTAAAGTCAAAGACATCAACTGTCTTTGCTTTGAATTGTACATTATGTTTCTTGTTTTAAAATAAAACTAAATCTTTAGATAAAGAATTCCATTTAATGAACTACAAGTAAGTTTGTTTACTAAAACATTGTTTGCAAAAAACAACATAATAATAATTAAGAACCATATGACTTTATAGTCATATGTCACATTATGAAAGATTTCAATGTAATTGTTAGAACTTGAGTTCTTTATTTCTTTTGCCGCACACGCTAAATATAAAAATAACAGATTTTCGTGTACAGTAGTAAAACAATACAAAATAGTGCATTTTATCACTAGAGGGTGCCTGTTGAACTGTATTGCGAACAATTTAAATGTAAAATACCTGTAGCAATTTGAACTTGAATTCTTTATTTCGTTGGCCGTGTGCGCTAAATATAAAAGTAATTGTGTAAAGTACCTAGTAAAAGAATATAAAATTGTGCATTTCATCACTAAAGGGTGCCTATTTAACTGTATTACGAAATATTTAAATGTAAAATACTTGTAGTAATTGGAAATAGAATTCTTTATTTCGTTGGCCACGTACGCTAAATATAAAAGTGTTCAGTAAAAGTTAATTTTGACACATTTACTCTGATATTTTACCTAATAAAACATTAAATTTAATTCTATCCAACTGATATTTTTTTTTAATACAATGTTGAATTATGTGTTCCAATTATTATATTGCAAATTGCATTGATTGTTGAATGAAATTCACAGATTCATATTGGATTAGATATATTATTATATCTAAATATATCATAAGACGAAAATGTTATACCAATTAAGCGAGATATATTGAAATATACAGGATGAGTCTTCTAAGGTGTCCTAAACAGATTGCAGACAAACGGCTTGACATACAGAGATGAAAAAAAAAACTTTTCCCCACTAATTCATATACAAGGAACAACGTGGTTGATACCAGGGTTAGAATCTCAGAGTTTTCAAATGTAAACGTGCAGGACTGTATTGAAAAGTGTATCTGCATCCACTAATCTCCAGTACTGCACGTTTTACATATGTTGTATATGGGCAATTGGAGTTTTTGGTTAATTACTAGAAAACTACTAAAGATGGGTTTAAATTTATAAGTTTTTTTTTTGCAATACCTTCAAAATGATACGCCATTTGACATATGTTTCTATTTAAATTTTTTTATTTACATGGCTACCAAAATAAAAAAAATCATTGAAAAAATATTTAGTTTTTAAAACTTTGACATATTACATATAATATTAAAGCAGAACTCACGAGGATTAAGAATTTTTAAACAGAACGAAAACAGGTTTAGTGGTTTTAACAGGGTATTCTGTAAATATCAATTAATATTTTCAATACAAATGGCCACCATTTTGAAACGGATAAAGATAAAGGAGTTCTGTTTTCACTAAATTGCTTGTCTAGTCTAGAGCTATAAAACTATGCATAACATGATATATGTTTAAAAAACTTTTTACGAAGTTCCTTGCGTAAGAATTCGTGGGGAAAAGTTTTGTTTCATCTCTGTAAGTCAAGCTGTTTGTCCTTGTCTGCAATCTGTTTAGGATAGCTTAGAAGACTCACCCCGTATTTGGTTGATACTATGGAGTTGTCTTTTGGATTTCGTTGGAATTATTTTAAATGTGACAAAAATAATTTTATTTTGGATCTAAGTCCATGTTAGATATTAGCCAATGTAAGATTTAAATAGACGCCTCCATCTATAAAATAAATTGCCTTTCCGGATTTACCAAAAGGATTATGACCAGTTAAATTAATAAAATTAGAATTTCGCTGATTCATTGTTGTTTTGTTTAGCATAGTTTTATTTTTATTTTATTTTAAGCCGAACAACTCAATTGTATCTGTTTGTCTGATATGGGTGTGGTTGTTTGTTCATTTGTTACGCTTAAGCACCATATTTGTTACTGTAAAAAACAAGTGTACAATTATTGTTAATCAAAATGTTTAATGGTATAGTACCTATGAAATGGTGAGGTGGTGTTAAGCTAACTAGGGTAGAAAGGAGTCCTAAATACAAAAAAATAGTTTTCTTCATGTTAAGTGGTCTGGAAATTCTTGATTTACTCAACGTTTAAATTTGTTTCAATGTTTAACTCCTATGGCAAACAAGTCTTAATTAACTTTTGTCACCACAGATCGTTCCACATGACGAATTTTACGAAAAATTCGGTAACGTGAAAGTAGTTAAAATAGAATCACGCAATTGTTTTTTTTTGTACAGTAATAATAACATATTTAACATGCAACCGATTGTTATTTTTAAGTATACATGTATACGTCGTATAAACATTCTGGAAAAGTTAAATTCATCGTATGAATGCTTTTTCAAATAACGTGTACACGTTTCGTGTAAATAGTTTATTTAATTTATAAATGGTTTATAAAACTTTAATACATATATTATGTAAGGCGGATGTTGTCCCCACCTTCTACAGTAGCCTGTCTATAAAAACTATAACGTCTTTAACTAATATAATATGGTAAATTTATACATACACCACTGTTTTGGTATCTTTAACTTTTTGGGCTGACCCATACGTGGTCAAATTGTCGTTAAAGTCGGTTAAAAACTGTTTAAATGAACAATTTCAAGCTCGGTGTTTGTGGCTAAGCCAGTCTAGACATTGAATTAAATCCATCTAATGCCTGCTCTAGAGTGCACTGGGGCTCAGGTCCTTCCTGGAAGTACTAATCCAGAATCCTATTCATAGTTTTTGCCCAGCTTGCTGTGTCACACACCCCTATCTCCCCTTCCCTACTTCCTTTTACCCACAAAACCTTTGAAATTAACCTATAGGGAATCTTTCGGGAGCAACAGACTCAGAGCTACCTATGTTCCCTATTGTTTGTTGCGGGAGGGTAAGTTCCTCATAATCACCCCAGGCCGAAAGTCCTACACTCACGTCAGATGATGGTACCATAGTGGTCCTAGTAATCATTTAGTGGTCTAGTTATATTGAATATCAGAATAGTCAGCTGGTGGCGTAGCAGCAGTCGTAACGTCAGCTGGTGGTTTATTGTAGTAAGTTTACAGCTGGCGGCGCGGCAGGTCGTCGCACGCATGCGTCGCTGTCATTAGCGTCGGACGCCTTCAGTATCGTGGCGTCGGCCGAGCCGTGTTGAGACGCCAACGAGCGTCGGTTTTATTTTTAGTTTTATTTCTTGTGATATCATTTACACGTTCATTAAGCCTATTTGAGAAAATATTTAATATTAGTGTATCCCCGTGTAACATTTTCGTATATCCGAAAATCTGTTAAAGTTTTTTTTGGTATTGCTGTTGGTTATGTGCGTGTTGAGCGCGTGTTTTCTCGTGTTCGTGTGTTTGTGATCGTCACCGGGATGCCTGTTCGCCGAGGTCATGTCGCCCCTAGGACCACCATCATCGAGACCATCATCCGCAAGTTTGACACACACAGTGAGTGAACACATATAGCAAAATTACCCATATTAAAGCTAAACCCAGCTAGCCAGCATCTCATGTATAGAATACCTAATATTTTGAAACGAACTATATATTCATCTGTGTACTATCTGTCCACTGTCCCTTTCATCAGTTTAGAAGATAATTAAGCGCTCAATGATCTACTCTCTTGGCCCGCCGCTATGTTTATTTACAATCGGTCCCACTCGGTCATTCTAGTGTCGCCGGCTCAGTCTGCAAACTACAGTATTTCTCGACGTGATCATTCTGTTGGGAAATACCACACACTAGTTTTGTTTATTGCGTAATAACACCGATGATTTACATCCGGGCCAATTTTACACTCCTAATGTTTGGTATAAATAAAAATAAATTATTTTACTGTTTTGGTTGATTGTACGGTAATACATTTACGTGTTTACAAAGTTTTACAAAACAAAACCTTTATAAACATATAACAAAAAACACAAGCACCAAAAATGTTTAATGCATAGTAACACTTATAATTGAAATCCTTGCCCAAAGCTAAATTGTTTCAGCTTCTTAAACATAAAAATACGATCACATGATTTTATTAAAACACAGTAACTCTATTGATTAAAATATTTACCTAAACCAATGAGTACAAACCATTATATAGCGGCAAAGCTAGCTTTATTCTAAAATACTGTATTATGAAATTGTTGGTTCATTGTACAACAAAGCATTATTTACATCTTTACCAAGTGAAGCTCTGAAGCCGGAGTTTAGCTTCGTAAACATCTCCTTTGACCGGTTGCTGCTGTTTGAGTTCACAATAAGCAGAGAACGTGTGTATCTTGTTATCGTAAATGTACGTTCCTGTGAGGTCCAGCTGCAGGTAACGATGTCGAAGCCTTCCTCTCAACAAACATCAATCACACACAGATTTAGTTTCTCTCGCCGATTTCAATTTTCCTATTCTCGGCTTCTCTTTGTTGGGAAAGAATAAACACAACCTTTTTCAATATTATTTTGAAACAAAATTTTGAAACGATCCTAACTCGTGTTATAATTTTGAGAGTATTTCCTGTAGAGATGACCCAATAATTGTTTTTATTTAGATTCTGAAATTGTTAAAATATAACACCTTAAAATTAAGATAAACTTTGATTTAAACTCATTCGCCTTGGTTACATTTCATTCGGATACTTGATTTGACAATTCCTAATATTATGTTAAAATTCAAAATTAATCATCGTCACCGTGTTTGGAAAAGAAAGGATTTACATTTTAGCTCTCTTTATACAGAACAAAAATGCATACTGGTTATATTTATGGGTACTTAATGAACAAAATAAGTACAATTTGGAAAATATTACACTATTTGTAAATGTACAATTGAAAATATGGTTGGATGAAATAATTTTTACAATAAATAACTTCTTGTCAGTAAGTTGTCAGAGCATATAGTTTAACTTATAACATTTAATCACATTCTTTTCAACTCACTTAATATGTAAAGTAGTTTCAATTTTGTAAACAAAAATAATGTAAACATTGGAAGATAGTAAAATATCTGACAGTTATTTATTTATTTGACAACTTACATCTATATCATTTTAAAACTCATACTTAAGTACGACAAACACGGCAAACAAGATATCAGTTCATTATGTTCAATTTATATGGGAAATCGGTTTTCTACGAATGCTGTATGTAAAGCCGTCAAGTTGTATTCGGTTAAAGGGAAAGCTTATATTATAAAAAAAAACCCCATTGAAGTACCTACTTTGTAATTAATAAAGTGAAAAGATAATTGAAAATAACAAATCCCGTTTACAGCTTTGTAAAATTCGTATTACAATTATTACGTAAATCGAAATTTAATCTTCTGTTCATAGACATGTTCAATAAATAAAAAGAAAATAAATACAGGTGATATAGTACTGTATTTAATATATTGATACTAGCTGTTGCCCGACATACTGAGTACATAATGTTGTGACATACATTACTACTCACAGTACTATGAGCCGGATGAAGTTGTGACTTTGCTACGGAATAATATGACCTTACGCATAACATTTTCCGTATAGTGACAGTTATTACGGATTAATTCCATTCACATAAGCTAATCATATGAGACTACTGAAGTAAAATTATGAGAGAACTTCTCCATTTGAAATATTATCTGTGTTTCTACCAAGAACTTCGAACTACTATCTCTGGAGTAACCCACATGAGGGGTTTTACCAAAATAATATTCCTGTTAACTCTTTTCACTTATTTAAATACTCTTAAACACAATTTGCCAATGGTAGGCCTTATGTTAGCTTCCTCATAACTTGATTAACAGGATCACTACCAGCCGTCACACTCCTGTGTCTGTAGTCTCAAGACATCGGTAGTGATGTGTCGGTAGTGACATGGTAGTGAATGTGTTTACAAGCATTAGATAGTCAATCTTAAAGCAGCATAAGTGAAATTCAAACCTTTATTTTATGACATAATGTTCTCCGTCACTGTCTCTACATTTCCTCATTTGATATTAGTGTTGATTTTTTCTGTATTATTTTTACTTTTTTTGGTCTAACGATACCACCATTGAATTTTTGCAACATAAAGAGTAATACATGTCTATTACGTGATTGATACGATAATTACGGTAATTAGGTCTAACAACCTATAATTTTTCTCATCTAGTATTCTAATTATTTACATAAAAATGGGTTACGAGTATTTTAATTTTAAAGTGATAGCCCTAATTGTAACGAAAGCATTGCAGTGAACTTGCCATGTTTTTGTTGACAAAAATAAAGTTAAATCAGCTCGGAGCTCGGTCGCTTTGTTTTATTTTGTGCAACCAGTTATACCAACAAGGCAATCGTTGAGTAGGGTACGGGTTTGTCGTCAAATACTCTTTATTTCATATAAAATTATATTCAATTTTAGGTTAAAATCCAATGTGAGTTTATTTAAAATCAAATCAGTTTTGTGAATGTGTGTTTGTAAAATGAAAAAATGTATACTGTTCTATGGTGTTATAGATAATAAAATAGTGTTTATTTTCAATGTTTTTTAGGTGTAAAATTTAGATGGCTCGTATGCTCATTGCTACGTAATATAGTTCTAAAATAAACAAACAAAAATTACTCAGATTAAACCCTTTGAAAAGTTCAATCATCGACACAGAATACATTAATTGAATTAAGCTTAACTTGCAATAATACCTATCGAGCTATGATACAAAAATTAATAATTGTTAGTAGCCATGATATGAGTACTTAAAAAACAATTAATTATAATGTCATAATGTTCACACGATTATAAATTAATCTGTTAGGGTGTTCAAGATGGTATTAAAAATATATATAATGTGCGAAAATCATAAATTTGTAACACATAAAGTGATTTCAAAAATTAAAATGTTACTTTTGTTGATAACTAATTAAATTGTGGTCATAAAATGAGGCATTGTATGTAAACTTTTTTATAAGCTATAAAGGAATAAATTAACATAATATTATATTGGGCTTAGCGATAATGTGAACACACAGGGGGTTTACAGTAAAAAATCTTAAGACTTATGATAAAACTTCAAAAACATTACACATCCACCTCTAATATATTATCAAATAAAGACTACGTATACAAATAACAAAACAATTCACTTTTTGTGTGTAAGGGTTTCGTATGAAATTACCTGCTAAACACAAACACATGAAGTTTTAAACTATGTCACAACATTGTTTGATGCAAGATAAAACCTTTGGACGAGGGGATTAACGGGTCGCGACTAAGCCTGTGGTGTTTTGAGATGTGAAAATGTAAAGCAGGGATTTCGTCATTCAACCAAAATTCTAAGTCCTACGTAGGAATAAAACATCAGTCTTAAAACTTACATAGAGGTGTTGCAACGTTTCAGAATTTTAGACAAGGTTGTTTAAGTATGTAACTGTCACATTTTTACAATGAATGTGACGTGTGTTTTTTTCATGTAAGCTATTTCATGAAGGTTTTTTTTTTGTTTTATGAAAACAGCTTTTAAATAGTTTGGAAGAAGAACATTGTCAAAAATTTTTGATACACACATAATTGAAAACTAAACTAAAATAGGCTTTACTGTCGTCACTGCAGCTCAAATTCTTGTGGTGTAACTACGTTACGGCCGTTTCGGCATTACAATGCCATCGTCAGACTACAAAAACACAAACTCGGCTGAAGTAGCGTCGTTGAAGTTTAAACACGTAACACATACGAACAATAACATACATTTAAAATATTTACAAAAACCGAACAGGCCTGTCGTACTAACAGGTGACATGTTCCCGTTCCGAGCAAAAACCGACTCAGTTTTAGTTATTATACAGCTCAGGGGCTAAAACATGGATTTTAATTGAAAATTGATATAGTTATACTTTAATCTCACAAAGACTATTGGATATTTACTAGCTATATAAAGATATAGTTGAATTATATTTTTCTAGCCAATTTATCGCTAGACTTTTAAGATTGGTGCACTTTAAGTAGTATACAACAACAGTACACTACCAAGGATCTCAATGATAAAATTACAACTATATTTTCAATGGACTACTCTGAATCTTTTAACTGTTTGTGATGTTTTTAGAAAAGTAAAGAAGGATGGGAGTAGGAAATCCAAGGAATTTATCTAAAGAGTTTACTTCAATCTCAGCATCTAAGCCAACTTTGTCGCCAATGCCTATTTCCATCTCATCTCCACAAAGCCTTTTTAGAAAGGAAATTTGTTGCAAATTTATTTTTCTTATTATAAAACCCCAAGATATTTTGTCTGAAAGCCCACATGCTGATTGTCTTGTACAATAAGGCTAGTGCTAAAATTACTAAACGAATAAACACAATATACAGTTCACTAACTCAGTTAGTATAAAAATAATAATTGTGTTTCTTCGATTTGTAGCTGTGAAATACCGATGCCAAATAAGCATTGGAAATCAATAAAGAATGATTGTTTGGTTGGTTTGGATTTGGGTGGGATAAGAGTTGTACTG